CTTTCTCGTTTTTCCTTCCCTCTCTCATTTCCACATAAAATGAGATTTTATTCACATTTAAAAATAACTTAGTTATTTTGTTCTGCATGGCATTTTAACAAGTTACTTTCACAAGATATCTGAAAAGTTTTGGCTGTGTTTCTGAACTCCCAGGATCCTTTCCCCCCCCCCTCAACTCTTGTCCAGAAGGCTTGCTGTATAAAATTCTTTGCTACGAAGTTCATTCTATATTTGTTCATAACCATAACCCTCCATCATCACACACACACAAGCACATACTGAAAGCACACCCTGCAAGCGTGTCTTTCACGCATTTGGGTTCTTATCGGATGTTGGATGCAGGGGGAAACATTTGTGTGAACTGTTGAAAAGACGGTTTCAAGCCCACTCTTTAAGAAGAAAGAAGCAGTGTTTTCCTTACCATTACTCTCATAGATGACACCAGCTCTCCCACGTGCTTACTGACTGGCCACATTTCATGGAAAATAATGTGAAGTATGCATGCACAACTTACACACTAACTTTGTCCCATCACCAGAGACTCACTACAATCTTTTACTACCACTGAGAGATTAGAACAAGACACATTCTCTTTTTCCTGCTACCTCCCATCCCTTTCTAAAGAAACGGGATAGATATTTTCCATCCGGAGTGAACTCTGTACAGATGTGAGCAACAGATTGGTCATACTTGAATTTATGCTCCCTTACACCACAAATCCAACAGAAACAGAATTTCATTCACTGATGGGGGAAGTTCTGCTTGTTGAATTTATACCCGTTAAGCAGCTGATACCATTACAAAGCCTCTTTAAGTCTGGGAAAAGGTGGAGATTTATTTATTTATTTATTTATTTGGAGGGGTAGTGGTGTACGGGAAGCAGTAACAAATCGCATCCTGCAATTCCTCTACTTGTTTAGTTTCTAGAAAGCACCTAATCCACAAGACATTATGTTGATAACAATAGATATTAACCCAGTACTAGCAGGAAAGTATATGTTGCCATAACCAATTTTTCAGTAGCCCTCAGGCAAATCCTAAGGTTTTCAATGCCCAGGTTTTCAACTCGCCATGGGAATTAAATATGTTAAGTTGGTTGAAGGTACCTTCAACTTCAGAATGCCAAACAAATCAAGGTGGTTTGCTGGAACTTATGAAAAAAAGAGAACCTTTGAAATGCAAAGTAAGTAATGTTCAAAAGAAAAACAAGAAAGAAAACTAGAGCACAGACAGAGTTCCGACTCCAGTCCTCTGAAGATGCCAGCCACAGAAACTGGCGAAACCTTACATGGCCAAAGAGCCCGAAAAACCCACAACAGCCAACAAGAAAGAAAATATTTGAGAATGAGAACAAAAATATTTGAGGTCCTTCAGATGTGGACAAAATCAATGAATCCTTTCAGAGTGGCCACACCTCTGTTTTCATTGGCAGACAGTTTCATATTATTGACAGAAATCAGAGCATGTATCTAAAAATCTAATACAGGAAGGATGAATTGAGAAAACCTGGTGAGATGAAAAGCATGCATACTGTATTGCTAACGAACCTCAAATTTGAAAATAACGCTTGTGTTAATGGATTAAACAAAAATGCTTCTGATCCATCATTTTGTCTTCATTTGTGTATAACCCGACATCTCTTCGAGATGGCGGGTTTCTATTTTGTTTCTCCTCAGCATACTGTATGATAGCCGTAAGGATACAGTATGATTCTATGTGTTGCTGCTGCACCATTCTGTGGCACAGTTTTCCATATATAGAGTAAGGAATCGCATTTCCCCAGCCCAAGAGTTCACACTCAATTTTCCCATGTGCTTTCAGAAAGACATGCTGAACTATTCCAGCAAGATGGGGACTGATCATTGTAGTCAATATAACATGCACTCATCATATTCACTCGAAGAACTTCCGATTCCCTGCCTTTCATTCATTGCAACGAAAGTGCCTGTACATATAATGCATGAATGTATGGAGCGGTCTATAGATGGACAGGGACACCTCATCCATCAGAGAGCTTTTTATATGCCTTAGAACTCTCACTCTGGAAATTATTTACTGAACTACAATGCTAAGTTCAACCCTTAATTATAAGTTAAACACTTTATCCTCTCAACTCCTAGAATCCTTCTAAGGGGAAAAAAGTAGAGTGCCCCAACTGTAGGACCTCAACAGTACAGTCAGCTTGTATGAAGTCCACTTGAGTGCTTCATTTAAGAGAACAACACCTGGCATGGAGTAAAATGCCTTTCCTTCCCCACCTTTCCCTGCTCTGCAAGATTATGGGATCCTTTGGGGGAATATCTTGGTAGCAGGTAGGGAAGAAAAAAAAACAAACCCAAGAAAATGCTCTCAGATATAAATCTGCTCATATCAGATTGGATTTAGCCCATTAAAACACGTCATTGTCACTTATTTTGAAGTTTGAATTCTGCTTCCTTTGTACTATGACACTGACACTCAGTTTTCACTTATCAGGTAAAACCTGCATCTGGGTGGTATCCTTTTAGACTCAAGTAATAACATGGTGCGTCTAACAAACAAACAAAAACAAAAACAAAAACACCCCCACTATTAAAAAAACTCCAGAACATAGAATAGTAAGTAGAATGAGGCCCAAATCCCACACTCTGATACACTCGTTTCCCATGTGCAGAGATTATTTTAACACACAGAAAAGAAAAAAAAAACACAGTAAAGAATGAGCCCTCCATTACAATATCATATAAGATAACTTCACTCCAAAGGCATGTATTTGCAATACCACAAGCTGGAAGAAATCCTAAACATTGGATATGTCATACAACAAACCATACATATATTCAAGAAAGTAGAGTCTTCAGAGGCTTTTTTCAGAAAATACAACATTCAGTTATGCAGCAGGTTAGTCATGAATTGTTTAGAGATGGGCAGAGGGATCAATATGAGGCAGGTCCAATTGATTACTTGATGGTGTAAGGCCTGAGAGTTCAAAACAATTTTTTTAAATGAATTTAGCCAAGTTATTCAAATCCCAGAAAGAGGAGGAGGAGGAGGAAGAGGGAAATATGCAAAAGGTGATGAGCGGTAGGCCTTCTCCAATCTCTAGAATTCATGAAGGGGTTGCATCCAGGTTTGCATTGACATTATTTACCTCTTTGAGACAGCCCATAAAGTTGTTACTGACTGGTGAGCCTGGCAAGTCTGCCGTGCTAGGACTGCCGCCAACATAGAAAAAGTCATCGGAGCCCAACATGGTGTAGTCTTCTTGCGTGTAGCCCGTCGTGGTCAGAATTCCATCCACTGATATTGTCACCTAGATAACAAAGCACAGGGAAAGGACACGCTATACTCAGACCTACATGCTAATGTTCTGGGATATGCCTGGTTTTTTTTTTGTTTTTGTTTATTTTTATTAGTATTTATATTTTTATATTTTTTTATTTTTATATATATATATTTTTGAGACCTAAGGCGGAGCCCATTTTCATGTCTGTTTGAGGTTTAGTCTTGGATTCTATCCCTAGGAGCTCTAACTAGTTAAACGAGTTGTCTTATTATTGAGCTAGTGTCAGCAGTCCCTATTTGCAACTCAAAAAGGTTGATTAGCAGACACAAAAATGGTGTTAGTAGAATGCTTCCTAGGTTAGTTTAGCTGGTGTTATAGATTAGTTAAGTTCAGTAAACTCTGTCATTGACTAATAAAAAAATAACGTGCACCTAAATAACAGAAAAAGGCACAAGCAATATAGCCAGCGGCACCATCACTATTTGCACTATATATACAGCAGCGTTTGTCCATGCAAGGGTCTAAATTCCATGCCAAAGCAGGGAGGGAATTAAAAAAGAAAAGCGGGGAGGAAACCAGCAAATTACAACCAAGTGGCGGCAGCAGACTTTTGATGTGCACATGCAGGAAACCGAGTTTTAGAGAAGGAGAAGAAAGGAAGAGAAAGGAATGGAGAAGAACCGAATGGCTTGTTGATGAAGTCACAATGGGTGGAGGTGTAAGTTTGACATTCCTGTCCATGCCTGCATGCCATGCATTATGAATGGTTAGAACACCGGGTACCCCCGGTGGCAGGTTAGGCCAGCTTAATCCCTTGTTAGTTAAACCACAGCTTCTGATGCAAAATGTTAACGATGCCCCTCTACGTGTGACTTCAAAAAAAAGAGAGAGAGAGAGAAGAGGAAGGAGAAAGAGAGAGAGAAAAAAAGAATTGGACAGGAACAGATAAAGTAAAAGAAAAATAAGAGGTCAACAACGGATGAAGAGGAGGTTAAAAAAGTAAGCAGAAGAGTACCAACCGCAGTTCCTCTTTTGTTAATGATGTCTACAGTTAAAAGAAAAAAAGGAAACACACGGCAAACCCAAAATAAGAAACAATTAGAATGATATCTACCGAACAATGTAGTTTGTTTACCATAGCGTGTCCAATGCCTGAGTGCTTTGCGGAAAAGGGGGAAGAAAGGAAATTAAAAACTTGTGAACAGAATAACGATCGTTTACTTAAAAAATATGATGGTCACTACCAATGTTAGTACATTATTTTGGTTCAGGTAACGGTTAGTAGAATGAAACATTCCATGAATGACATGTTAGTTATTAAGCATGTTAGTAACACAGAAAAAAGGGCAAAATAAGTTTACAAGGAAAAATAAAAAAGCAGACTAACAGATATGCCTCCACAGAGGTAACAGCAGTTGTATTTTTTTCCCCTGCAAATATATTTATATATAGATTGATCATATAGATATATACTGTAGAACTTATTTTCGGCTTTCCACTGGACAGAAACAGACATTATGACCACATTCCTCTTGTTCTCCTCCACCTGAATGTTTCTGACAGACATTCAAAATGACTCTTGGGGTTAGAAGGTCTAAAGCTGACCACTGCTTTCTTCTGAACCCCAGCACTGCGCAAAACCCATTTCCCAGAAAAATCAGTCGGTATCCCCTAGAACTCTTTTTTTTTTTAAAAAGGAAATGATTATTATTCTTTTAGTTTTCACTCAGCACACAAGGACTGCTTCTCAACTCCAAAACGTCTTTCGGTCATATTGATGGACTTTAGGACCACAGTTTACTGCAATGAAACAAAGCAAAGATTCCTGACACATAACAATGAGTAGAATGGATTTCTGTAGCTGCCTCTCTGGTCATGCACCTGTGCGAGGGTCAGGGGGCACCCTATAATGGGCATCTCTTGTCCTTGGCCCACACCTTTTAGTATGTTGGATTCTGTTATGAGTTTTTGATGAGCAAAGGCAAACCTAGAAAGTGGACAAAAGAGCCATTTTCCCAACGTTTTATTAATTACTGGCCAGAATCCTAGTGGAGTTTGAGTAAGGTTTGTAGAATGTGCTGTTGAAGCTTATAGGTAGTTGACAAGGTGCTAGCATGCATCCTGATGGTGCAGCTGACCAGAGCACATGACCACAGACATGTCCTGATACCTCATCAATCAGCCACCATTAACTTTTGCAAGTTTCACAAACCTTATATGAACACGAATAGGATTCTGGCCACTGTTCTTATTATGCTTGCAGTATCATTTAAGCATTTATTTCATGTAAACATTAAGGGAAGTGACTTGCCATTTCTTATCCTCAACCGTGAAAAGCAAATGTGGCCTTTTATATTCCAGCGAAACCAGGAGATGAAGTGTATGAACAAGATGGACTTTTCTGGGTCAGACTTTCAGTGGCCTGTTTTTCCCCTTAAATTCCCATCTATTACAGAAAGGAAGGAAATAAGAACAAATATATGATGATGACCTATAAAAACCCCTGTGCTACTCCTTACTAAAGTCTGCCCAGATCTTAAGATCCTCAGGAGAGATCTTCTTTTCTGTCTTACTATCTTCAGAGGAATGTTTAGTGGTAACAGAAGGAATGGCCTTCTTGGTGGTTGTTCCCAGGCTTTACGACTCCCTTCCAAAGAAAGGAGGCTAAGTTGGCCATCTCCCTGTTGCCCTTCTGCCAGGATGCAAACACCTTTTTGATTTCGATCAGACTTTAGCCACTGATCCAACTGACGAACAGGGGTGCTGCACAGTTCTGCAGGCATAATTTTCTGTTACATCAACTTTAATAAGATTTCAGTCATTGCCTCTGTGTTTTTAATGCTGGATCTGCTCGCCCCTCCCCTTTTTAATTACTGCATTTTTCGCACCATAAGACGCACTTTCCCCCCACAAAACAGGTGGTGGAAAGTCTGTGCGTCTTATGGAGCGAAGAAAACAGATTATATTTTCCTGTTTTCTTCTCCTAAAAAATTGGTGTGTCTTATGGAAAGGTGCGTCTTATCGAGCGAAAAATACGGTATGTTGCAAATATAGGCAGTTTTTATCTGCCTTGGGTCCTCCAAGAAGGAAAAGCAAGATAAAAATAATATTTCACCACAAAATTTGAGAATGAATAGTTTATTATATTATTTTTATCTTGCTTTTCCTTCTTGGAGGACCCAAGGCAGATAAAACTGCCTATATTTGCAACATAATTAAATATATTATATATATTGACTCCTTGTACTTCCTATTTCACTATTTCATGGTGATATTGAAGTCATCCTAATAAGAATTCATGTATGTGTTTCCATTTAGCATCATTGCCGCCTCCATGACAGCTTCCATGCTGCTTGTACAAGCTTCTGACCATTCCTCTAAAGCAGTGGTTTCCATCCTTGGGTAACCTAGGTGTTCTCAGACTGCAACTCCCAGAAACCTCAGCCAGTACAGCTGATGATGAAGTCTTCTGGGAATTGCAATCCTATAATACCTGGGTTACCACTGCTCTAAAGGCACGCTCAGCACAGTATAGAGAACTTTCTTAATCATCATGTAATCTGAAACATTGGGAGAAACTTCAAATAGCATGGGAAAACTACAAATATGAAGGCAATCACACTTGTTGAGTGACATTTGACGGTTGTCTCTGCTAGTCTAAAAAGCACTAACTTTTTCAAGAAATTGTAAATTTAAATGGCCAAGTGATGACTCTTGACATAGATAACATACAGTAGTATCATCCTGACTGATAAGCAGATGGGTTCTTTGTGGAACTGCAGAGGGATCAGTACCCACAGTTTCACTTATCTGCTGCCTGAAGATATTAAATATAAAACCCCAGAAATACATGTTTCCAAGGTGTATTACCAGAACAGGCCACTAGATGGAACGAGAGACAATGCTATATATAGGTTTTGATTTAGCCGTGATTTCTGGCATCTGCAGGGAGGATTAGAATGGATCCCTGCAGATACTGCAGTCTTACTGTACTCATACATTACTGAGTATGTCTGTTCCAGTCTTGGCCACATAAAAACCCAGAAATACACGCTTCCAAGGTGTATTACCAGAACAGGCCACTAGATGGAACGAGAGACAATGCTATATATAGGTTTTGATTTAGCCGTGATTTCTGGCATCTGCAGGGAGGATTAGAATGGATCCCTGCAGATACTGCAGTCTTACTGTACTCATACATTACTGAGTATGTCTGTTCCAGTCTTGGCCACAGATTTGTTAAATGTCCTTAACTAGTTTTATCTAATCTGAATTGCCCCTTCAGAAAAACTGGGGGAAACATAGAGCAGTTTTGTTTTGAAAATGGACGGAATAATTCAGGAGTCACCAAGATATTTTTATTTGCAAATGAAACTTAAATGTTTTTCAGTTTACCTGAAAAGAAATGATTTAGGGTGTCATCCTGCCTTTGCTTAGGCATGGATGGGTTTCACTGGTTTCAGTGGGATATATCTTATCTATCAGCAACTTATGTACAGGATTGTTGCCTATCCATTTTTAAATGTTATTTCCAGTTGATCAGGGAGTATAAGAGTATTTTTTTTTAAAAAAAGTATGGATCCATTCATGATTAAGCATGTTACGTGAAATATTTTACATAAATAAGTAAGTCTATTAGTCTAGAACATGTGTTCATGGAAAGTAATTGCTGGTGGCCTATAATAACTTGTTTCTGGTAGCTTAGTAACTTTTGACTTATAAACCACCCAGAATAGTTCATGCATTAATGGGGCAGTAGGTAAAATAAAATAACATAAATACATATATATATGAAACAATTCCTTAAGAAAAATTGGGTGTTCAGGTGCTTACACCTAAATCCAACTGCTAGCCCCAACTAGAACAGAATCGGAGTCAATGGGATTCAAACTAGAAAGTGAAAATAGGTCATGATTCAGCCAAGGTTTCAGCGAATCTCTTCTATGTGAGATGAACAATATGTGTTAGATCTTATTCTCCGTAGAAGCATTAATCTCAATCCACTCTGTGACATTTTTTCTCAACTCTTACGTTTGTTCAAAACCAATCTAGCCCATAACTTCTTTCTAGGTGTGCCTGTGCTCACATATGGCAAAAATAGCCTTCCCCCCCCTCCTGATAACACATTCTCTACTTGGCCAAGGGCTGCTCAACGCTCAATGGCATGTTGTTCTAATGGCAAGATAACCAGACACTTAGCTGTGGCAGAAGCAAAGTCAGTTATTGTTGTATCCATTGTACTGTTACCTGACGCAGATTCCTGGTTACTTTCACATCATGCCAGGCATTGTCATTAAATTTCCCATTCACAGGTTCCACCAGCGCTTCAAAGGCCCCTGAGCCCAAATTAATAACTAAGGAGACAGCTCCGTTTTTCAGGGCAAGGTTGACATAATCGGCTGATTTCCCAGTGTGAAGCATCAGTCCATTCCTCTGCAGAGTTTTAAACGACAGAGTTATTTCGTCGCTGCTGCTCTGGATAGGATTTTGAGACAAGTCATAGCAGAAATACTCTGACCCCTTGAATGTTGCGATGTATTCTTCTTTGCCTAAAGAAAAGAGAGAGAGAAAGAGAGAGAATTTCTGAATCATTGGAACTAAACTAGGTGCAATTCTTCAAACAATAAATAACACATCAGAGTATTATTCCGTAACAACAGTATGATGATCATGAACTCTTTCTGGAAAAAAGAAATATATCATGACAAAAACACAATATTAGTTAAACTATTCATTCTCAAATTTTGTGGTGAAAGAATTAGCACTGTAAAGAAATAAATCAGTGCTAAAATCCAGTGGGCATCCTACTCTGAATTTTTCTCTGTTTTAGCTTACATTCATGTGATGTTTGTAGCTTTTATTCATGGATAAGGATTTTCCCTTTTCCTCTACCTGGCATTCTACTGTTGCTGAATTCCAATTTAATTAACATATTTTTTTTTCAGTATTCATTCTGAAATCTGAGTGGACAGATTTTTCAACATCTACTGCCTTGAGTTCATCTGCAAATATTACTCTCCCTAACTGCTTCCAATTCTGACTCTGCAACACATCATAGAAATTTGTCAATTCATAGCAGTTAGCTACAGCAGGTTATGCAAACCTTAGATGACCTTATTAAATTTTTTAAACTTTATTAATAGAATTACGGCCACAGAAAAGAGCAATTGAATGAATTCCTAATGGTTCTAAGAATGGATTAGAAAACTGGTTGACATTTCAGCACAAACTTTTTTCCAATTTGCCTTTTCTGCACTGGAAACTAAACAGAATGCAATTAAACATTAAAATCCACAGTTAAGAAAATCTCACAGAAAAGGCACTTGAGAATTTCAAACTACATCGGAATATCTTTATTCACAAAGAAGTATAATACATTACTCATGGCGGGAACAATGATATTTTTATTCTAGAATGAGAATCCAAGAACTGGGATGGGTGGATGGGTGGGGGAAAATAATTCCCTTTCCTAACTGGTTTAATCTGAGATCAAGACCAGATGATTCAAATGTTACATCCTAGGGTGAAATTCAATTGATTTTTTTTTTGAAAAAAAAATGTAGTAAAAATAAAGGGGGAAAACTTGACCACCTTGGGTGAAAGCTGGAGTAAAAATATTTTAAACAAACAAATGATCTCAAACTCACCACCTTCACTTCAAAAAAAATGGCTAAAAAACCCCAGGCAAAATTGCCTATTTGAATTTGCATATTTCAGTCTGTAATATGGAATCCTGCTTTTGAAGTTCAAATTGTGGATGTGATATTTTACAACAGATCTCAAGGAATTTAGACATGGCATTTCTGGATCATTTTTGTCTTGGCTCATGGCGGGAACGATGATATTTTCATTATAGAATGAGAGTCCAAGAACTGGGACGGGTGGATGGATGGGGGAAAATAATTCCCTTTCCTAACTGGTTTAATCTGAGATCAAGACCAGATGATTCAAATGTTACATCCTAGGGTGAAATTCAATTGATTTTTTTTTTGAAAAAAAAATGTAGTAAAAATAAAGGGGGAAAACTTGACCACCTTGGGTGAAAGCTGGAGTAAAAATATTTTAAACAAACAAATGATCTCAAACTCACCACCTTCACTTCAAAAAAAATGGCTAAAAAACCCCAGGCAAAATTGCCTATTTGAATTTGCATATTTCAGTCTGTAATATGGAATCCTGCTTTTGAAGTTCAAATTGTGGATGTGATATTTTACAACAGATCTCAAGGAATTTAGACATGGCATTTCTGGATCATTTTTGTCTTGGCTGATTGGTAACATTACTTACTCTAACAGTCCAATATGAAAGGTTTCTGCATTTCTGCTGTCAAATCTTATGAAACATGCTGAACACTGGATGTAAACATGGCTGGTTGACCTGCAGATCTGTGAAATTAATAAACAGCTAATACTGTCCATAATTTCAGAGATCTGCAGGCCATCCATTAATGAAAAGAACATTTCACAGGATATGTCAACCACTGCCAAGGAAACATCTGGCAGTCAAATTCCCCCATTTTGTGATGTGCAATTTCTCTGGAACAATGTCAGTTGGACTTAAGGCCTGATCCCCAGAGAAGTTTTCCATTTCCTGGCAGCACAAGGGTCTACCATCTGCTGAAGGATTAGTGCAGCTGTAGCCTGGGACATTGATGTGGAAGTCAGCTGAAAAACCACACCAATGAAAGGCCCTTCACACCCAGGTTAAATGCTGTGGACATCTGCAGCAGATGGAATGGTGTGCTGACATTCAAAGCCAGACTTCTTTCATGTGAAAGAGGAGTAATAGTGCACCCCTTCTGATAGTGTGTTGAACTGCAAGTCCTGTAGCCATTGGTGCAGAAAATGGGGAGTGTATAGAAATCTTGAGGTGAGAAAAGAGCTACAGTCATGCCCTGCTGAACTATTACCCCGCTCTACGACGAATCCCCTTTACATTGACGTTTTGCAATTGCTTTTGCGATCGCAAAACAATGTTTTAAATTGGTTTTTTTTCACTGTGCGATGATCGGTTTCCTGCTTTGGGAAATGATTTTTGCTTTACGATGATCAGCAAAGAGCTGATCATCAGGTTTCAAAATGGCCACCGGCTGAAGAAAATGGCCCCCCGCTGTCTTCTAGGATGGATTCCTTGCCTTACAGGCACCAAAAATGGCCGCCGTATAGAGGATCTTCGCTGGACGAGCAGGTATTCAGCCCACTGGAATGCACTGAATGTTTTTCGATGTGTTTCAATGGGTTTTTTATTTCATTTGATGACGTTTTCGCTCTACAGCGATTTTGCTGGGACGAATTAACGTCGTCAAGCAAGGCACCACTGTATTTATCTTGTTCGCACCACTGTATTTATCTTGTTCTTAGCTGCTGAGAGGATTGTTGTTCAGCATTAAAATTCCTTGTTGCTCTAACTTTGTGTGTCAAGACAGCCAAAACGGACTTCAGCTAGGAATTTAGGTTACGTTATTACTATCCCTAAGAACCTTTCTGGAATTCAACAATAGTGCTCGTAGAGATGGAGAGTCTGCATAGAAGATGGACCTATATAGCTCGCAATTCAGGTTTCAATCCACATCCCCATGATTCACATTGCAGTAGTTATTGTGAAGGGCATCCAAAAGAATGCAAATGTTGTAAACAAAACTGTAGGAATCTTGGAAAGCTTTCAAGAAGGTTAATACATTTAGTGTCCACCGTCTGGCCCTTCTGTAATGACACAAGGTGAAACATTTTGACTCCTTGGCATTTTTTCATCAAGGAAGTGCATAAGAAGCCCAATCAGCAACTCTGTACCTCTTTATTTTGTGTGGGGGGGGGGAGGGGAGGGAGCATAATCTGGCTGCATTGCCATTGCAAAGATCAAATCAGTGTCACCAATTCATAGTAACAACTATTAAATATATGTCTCCATGGAGGCCTATCAGGAAATCACAGGAAGGCAATCTCTGAATGCTTATTCTTTGGCCATTGTTTCCACTAATTTTCAGTCCTGTGGCATGAAAGACTTGCCCAATGTGTGTGTTTGTGGGGGGGGGGGGAGCAAGGCGTCATCTGAAATGGGAAGTACACAAACCGGCTACTGCCTGCCTGTGCACAGCCCTAATGGAGCTCTTTCTGTATGTGCGTGCAGCTTAGAGAGCATGTTTTCTTTCACCGTAAGTTTCTTCTTCAGATGGTACCCCTATGGATTAAGTATGGAAGCACAGCACTGTAAACTTGCTGAAGAGCAAAATGAGCCATTTGTTGTCCTTTTAGTGACAATAATTGATATTAATATAGAGGGCATCTCCTCATCTAAAGAGGACCTCCCAGCCTCACTTTGCCACAAACAGAAATGTGATGTCCTTTGTATCCAAGAAACTCACTGATCAGCATCAACCTAGCATTCCTGGGACGTGACTAGTCACCAAGAGGCTCCAAACAACATGGAAGTGTCATTTTTGTAATATCAGGTATTATAGTCCTCTCGGTCGACTATTTATTTATTT